GGCCATACTGAGACATGAAATGTACAGCATGTACTTTCTACTAGCTGTATTTACCAACTCTGTCCTGACTCAAGAGTTCAAACATGCAATCATATGCTATTTCCATTTCACGTTAATTACATGAATTGTTTTATAGTACGCTTGTGGAAAAAAAGATTTGATTTGATATAAATTTTTTCTCAAGAAGTTTTTGCATCTTAATGTATTTTGTTATCAGTTGTTTATATATTCTTACATGGTTATAAAAACTAAAGGTTTTTTATTTTTATTGTTTTATTCATTTAACGAACTGCATCAAACTGAGTACACTGAGTACTGAGTACACTCTATTTCTTTGTCCCCCCCCCCCGAAAAAAAAATAAAAACACTGTAAATTGATTAGAAATATTTTTTTTCTGTTTTCTTTTTTTCCCCCCCCCCCCCCGTTACATCTACCAGTCCTCAGTCCACACACTCCTCACTTTCAGAAATTGGATGTTCTATTTTTTTATTTTCTATTTTTTTTTTTTTTTGCTTTTTGTTTTTTCTTCATGCACCATCCATTTCAAATTGTGATAAAGACCCTGAAAGTTTTTAGTCTACCGGTACTTAATAATTTGTCCTTTTTTGCTCACTCGTTAACATTTTGCAGGTTGCATTATTCTATAGCTTTTTTCTTTGTTTTCTTTGTTTCAGGTTTTACTCAAACACCCTCTCATATTCAGTAGATTAATGGTGGATTCATTATTAGTGACCGGAGCAGCCCATACTGCATTGTAAGCATCTTCAGTCCTGGTTCTTGTTTGTCTTTTCCCTTGTTTAACTTTAGTCCAGCCTTCATATTTCATTACAGACCAAAGGTTCCCTCTTGCACACCCGCTTAAAAGTTAAACTTCTGTCTCTTTTTGATTGTTAAAGAAATCAAAAAGAAAGTTCATAGAGATTTTCATAGAGACTTTTACATATTCAAAATAAATATTACCGTAAACATCTTTTTGTTCAAGTATGTTAGAAATAATATCTCCTAATGACCCTCTATGTAACAAGGAGATTAAATTTATACGAACTCAAAAATAAGACATATCAAAATCTCATTGTTAATAAGCATTCAGCTTTTTTAAAATTTATATAATCACAATGGATATAAATGTAGAGGGAGAAATTGTTTACCATGATCACTCTGAGTTTAATGTAACTCTGTCACCAATGTGAAAGTATGTGTTTTGTTTTGGGTCAGATTGTGCTTCAGATAGGTTCAGGGTTTTAGTTTGATAGGAGCTCCAAGTAAATCTCTTCTGTACCCACAGAGAAGGCTTTACATAAGGGACCAAAGCTGAGTTATTTTCTCTCAGCTCATTGGGGGGGGGACTAACTTTTCCACAGAGAGGCTCTATCTAAACCTTAGCTTTTTTGTAAAAATGTTGATACACCCGCTGCATTAAAATTGAATTTTGAAATTATTTTTGCTTCAACTCCTTTAATTTTATGTTCAGACTCAATTACATAAATAATTCAAAAACAGCTATGCATAATTTGGCCCTTATTTATCCCTATTTTGATGCATGAATCTTTGTTTGGTTTAAAAAAGAACAATTGGCAAAAACTACAATATTAATCTGTATATTTAAAAGATTTTATAAAAGACATTTCATCCCAGCGCTGTGTGTCTCAAGCCCGTAACATCATAAATGGCCCCTCACACCCCCACCATAGACTGTTCTTCCTGCTGCCCTCTGGGAAGAGACTTCGAAGCATCCGATGCAGGTCCAGACTGCTGAATGTTGTGTAAAATGTGTTATTTTATTTATATATATATATATATATATATATATATATATATATATAAAAATTTTTTAGAGTTATGTTTATATTACTATTTTTTATGTACCGGTATGTATTTCTGTTTTCAAGGCTACACTTTAAACAATGAAATTTTCTAGAGCTGTTTTAAATAAAATTTCTTCTTGTTTACACTCGTATAGACAAAATGACAATATAAATCTGTCTGTCTAAAGATTTTCTTTTTTAATTCATACTCTATTTACATAAAATGCTGTGTTTTGCTTCTTCATACCTACAAAGTCCTACCAGTTAGGCTGCCCAATGAATTTTTAATGAGTTTAGTCTATATATAATATATTACTTTTTCCAAATTTTATTTTAATTGTCATTACACTGTCACAAGTACATTGACTAAATGAACTCACTGCATTTAACTCATCCCCTTGGACAACAGTGTCCAAGGGGAGCAGTGTGGGGTTAAGGGCCTTTTCTAAAGCAGCCAGAGTGGCAGTCTGTGGGAGTGGGGATTGAACTCAGAACCTCAGGATTCCAAGCTCTATGCCCTAACCACTAGGCCACCACTCACCCACATGCTCAATAAATCTTTTAGAAGTTTAGATAGTCATTATTTTTTTATTCAATTTAACTTTACAATGATGAAATGAATGCTTTTAAATCATGAAATGATTTTTTGCAATAGACAATTGCAAAAAGTAACTATAAATTCAAAAATGGATATGAATAAAGCTTAAGAAACTGCATGAGTGTTTCCTGAGTTTGTGTGCGTGGTTGTGATCTTGTTTATCTTGCAATGCAGCTCCTTCCTGGAAAGAGCATTTGAGACTGAGCCTGTCATACCAAACCCTGGCAAGGCCATTAATCATGCAACACTCAGCAGAAGCTGCAACCCTACTTAACAAGTGGAGGCCATATTAAGCTTCAATTTTTAGTTCCTTTGAAAGAAAGAATATAGGATCATGCCAAAATAAATGTTCCACAATCCTACAACCAGTTATTTATTTATTGCAGTATTAAAACATTATTTTACTTGCTTTTTTTTTTTCATTTGTTATGAGCCGCTTGCCCTCAATAAAGCTGAACCTACTGTGACAACATCCGCTTTATTAGTTTGAACCAAACTATGAATTTGGTTTTATGTCAGCTAATAAAAATCAAACTTTGTGAGGCATTGAAAATGTTTATTTTAGCTCATACTAATAATTAGACAAAAAGGACTGTGCAAACTATAAAACTAATATTAATATTTAAAGAAAGGATTATCATTAAAAGAATTAGCAGTAAGTATATTTAAAAAAAGGTGATTTAATAAAAAGAAATCTCTAAACCCATACATTAATTTCAAGTGATTATTGTTTTTTTTCTTTAATGTTTGATGAAATAAGTGTTGTGACCTATGACAACAAAACTATATTTCTAAGAGAGTTGGAACATCCCAAGTCAAAGAAAAAAGGAGTGATCATACAAATGACATGGGTCTACTGCAAAGTGAATCCATATACCTCATAATGTAGGCACAAGTTGGTTTAGATTTTTATTTTATTTTATTTTTTTAAGAAATGCTGCATAGATTGATCCTCTGTGACATTGCTGGGCTGTCAAGGATTCCAAAGTTGCATTAATACCTTCAGCAGTCCATGTAGATTTATAAAACACAGTGGACCATCATCACCATCAAGACACATAGCTTCCAGAGTCCTTACTGACTTTAGGGACTGTGTGAAACTTTACACTGGGCCTCAACTTTCTACATTGTGTGCATAATGATTCCTCCCAAACTCTGGCAACATTTCCAAATTCATTGCAAAATTGGAACCAACCGAAAAGAGGTCTCTACCACTGAAGAGTGATGTGCATTATTGTTGAGGACTGGCTTAGCAAAAGGATGGATGTAATAATAATAACAATAAAATAAATAAATAACAATAATAAAAGCCAATCATTGGCCACCCCTACCATTTTTCCCTCTAATACAGACAGTAGCAGCAGTAATATTCTGAAGGGGAATGTTCAAACTTATTAAATATTTACATTTTTCTCATATTAACAACTAATTGACAACATAAACACAGTCGTTAATTATGCAAATGAATGTAAAATCATTAAATATAACAGATACAGAATTCATGCTCTTTTCTGAACTAAGTTCTGAATTATTTGAGGTTAATTATTATATTTATTATATT